TAAAACTTTAGTGCGAGAATGAAAAATAACCTGATTGTGATCCAGCTTCCACTGACCATCAACGATGAACTTGTACTGGTGTTCGCCTTCGGGCAAATCAATTATTGTGTAAAAATTGTGCTTGCTTGAAGAAATTGGAAGACGGTATAAGTTGTTTTCAAGACGAATGAAAAGAATACAAATATTACAAACCTTTTGACCATAGGAATCTTTGCCTTCCATCCATTAAAGGTTCCGCTTATGTAGACTTCTTTTCCTCCGCCTTCCCATGTGAAGACCGTGGGAAGAGCGCTAGGCTCTGAAATATCCTCAGAAGCAGGCACTTCAGTAGAGCCACCACCGCCAACATAAATCAAAGCCTTCCCATTCAAATCAGTAATTTTTGAATCCCTTAGCCGAGAAGCAATGGCATCCATGGCTTTAGAATCTGTTAAAATGCTTACTATTGAATCCTCATCAGTCTGAGTGGATCAAAGATAGATTTTTCAAAATTACCTGAGATGGCTGAACAATGAGTTTTCTTTTGTTAGGATAAACATGATTGCTAAATGAATGAGAATAATCCTCATCCAAGGATCCTCTTCGCTTTCCACCGCTATTAGAATTACCCATCAAATGGCGGCCATATGCAGAGAGGATGGGATCACGAGAGGAAAGTAGAAACGAATGAGCCCACCTTCCACGCTATCATTGGAGTAATAAAAAGCAGCAGGTCACGTGGTGGTGCTTACTAAATGGTTCAGCTTTATCTCTTTGTTATAGCTAACGAAATTATATAACTTGATTAAACTGTAAATTTAAAAATTATGATCAAATAAATATATAATTGTGTATCTTGTTCGTAGTGCACAGTATAACTTAGTTAAAATAAAAACAAGATTTAATATTAGAAGTTTTAAAATAAATTTAATAAAACAGCTAAACGTTCTTAAAATTGGACAGGCTCGACCAAAAGCTCTCTGGGCCTTATTTATTGAACTGCCTTGATCACGGCTCAGTGCTCACAAACATTAAACTGCTTGGAGCAAATCAGGTACTCAAAATGACTAATGTACAATATCAATAGCCTAACTTAATAAGCAAACTAATTATTAAACCAAGTTCGACTATAGTAAAATCAAATATGTGCAATGCGTGCTTAAGTGGAAAAAAAATAGGAAATGAACATTAGCTGCTTTTTGCCAAAAAGTATACGAACATCTTATGAGGCCGTTAATATCAGAATAAATGGCTGAAAAATATGATATTAATCAGGTCTATACTGAGTAAATTTTTCAATTGAAGCTAGAGTTAAAAATCTTGGTGAAGTTTGTGAAAAAATTTTACTCTCCAATAAAATTTAGATTCAGCCTGGATGGGGCCTAATGAGGCGCAAACAATTTCAAATAGCTATGTACCCATTTGTAAATTGATGTTTTATTTATGTTAGAGTGCGAGTGTAAGCGATTCGTATTTTGATGAATGATGAAAGCTCAACCAGGATACATCGGGGTCGTGGGTAGGTGAGCCAAAGACTTATTAGCATAAACATGCAGTCATAACTTCAAAGTAATCCTCGTTCAACTTCCGCTGAAACCAACTTACGAATAACTTGCACTTGCCTCTTCAAACTAAGTGAAAAGTTATCTATCATCAAGTTTAAACAGTAATTTTAGTGGAAAGCGTAGTCTGCTGGTATAAAATATCCATAAAGAACTAGCATGTGAATATTTCATGAAGTTTTCATCTAGTACTGGTGGAACGGATATTGCGGTCACTATAGGGCGTTAACATATTATTGATGCAAATACTTATTATGGGGAAAAAACTCCAATACATAACGTACTCTAACATGCATACTTAAGTTTTAAGTAAATTTTCTTTAGACATGTTATCTATCTACCGAACTAATATAGAGGTTGATATACAGGGAACTTTTGGTTACAGAATGTACTTATAGACGTTCTAAAAAGTCATTAAAGTGTAACATTGTGTTACTTGTAAACGAGGCTAATTAATTCAGAGGCAAAAAATTGATTCTGGCGAAAATAATTGGGCTAAATTAGGTACAGGTATCACAATAACATAAGAATTAATAGATACGCCTAACTAGTTTACTGCAAATATCGCATGCAATTTTCGCCAAAAGTAGAATGAATGAGGGCTAAAGTTAAAATGAGGGTAGTATAATTAAGGGAAGAAATCATATTCCTGAAGAAAGTGAAATTTAGAATAGTTGATTATTAACGGGAAACACTTGTAAGCTTCTGAAATATAAATGGAACATATAGGCCAAAGGCAGACCTATAAAATATTCCTAAAAGAAATTTTAAAAATGAAAATAATTCATCCAAGTAAAGATTCGTCAAAAGAGATGAGAGAAAGTAGGAACAATTTTTCGTCTAAGAGGTAAGGTTAACAAAATATATGTCAACGAGTCTGAAATTCCATAGAATGCATGTGAATTTATGATAATTATAACTTATTCCATTAACTCACATCTTTTTGTGTCATATTAAGGATGAGCTAAACTAAAGATTTCATAATCTTTATTTTTACACAAGTTGTTACTCAATTTGTCCTTACCACTAAGGACCTATGCGAGTCTGGCCTAATTAATGCCCTATGTTCCGAAAAATCTGAAGCAGATAAAACGGCTACAAGAACTGTAGCCATAGCTAGTTATTGAATAAGAGTTGTGACAGAGTCAAGAAATGTATTGACAGAAAGTTAATAATCAGCTAAACTTGCTAATCTCCAAAGTTGATGCTTCTAAAAAGTTATCGAGGAGATGTTCTAGAAAACAAATTAATGGTAAGATCACGCATATTTAACTTTCGCCTTTGTAGGTTGATTAGATATAATCACGAATAGTGGCAGAATAAGGATATAAACTTTCTCTACATGCGCTTGTTTAAGTAAATCTACAGTTAGCCGATACCTTGGAGTTTCCAGTATACAAATTGTATCTTTGTCTCTGATCTAGATATGGTGCTGGGGCCTGCACGTTGGTTGAATCTGTAAACTAGGAAAGCATAGTCAAATTGAAAATGTGGGACTGTAACATTGTGTGACTTTAATATTCATATCATCAGGCCTTTTGCTGGGGGCCGAATTGACCTGCTTTGTG